CCAACCCAAATGCCCATCAATGATAGACTGGACAAAGAAAATGTGGGACATATACACCATGGAATACTACGTAGCCATAAAGAAAAGAAAAAATGGAAAAAGAAAACTTGGATGTCTACCGCTACTAACTGGAAGGGGTTAATGTTAGCACATATGACCATTTTTGGAACTTTCTAGAGCTCTCTGGGGCACTCTGAGATATGAAGTTGGTGCTGAGGACCAGCTGGCACCCTGTGCCTCGGGGTGCCAGGACATAAATTTCTGGAGGCATTTCTCAGATATTCTAGAAATGCTGACATGTTCTCATCAGTGGAACCTCCCCTTTAGCTTACTCCCATTAAAAGGGGCTTTGCTAATTTCTTTCATTTCTCTCAACAACATATTCTGGGAGTGTTCTAAATATTCCTTTTCTGTTCTGACATTGGGTCCCCACTGGAGATGGACTGCACTGCTGTTCACCAGACTGGGATGACTCTCAGCCTCCCAGAGCCGCAGACAGACATTGCTATTTGCCCAGCCACCTACAATCCAGGAAGAGTGGCCTCAACAGACTCCAGTCCTGATGGCACCTGGGTCTTGGACTTCCAGCCTCCAGAACTGTGAGAAAATGAATTTCTGTTATTTAAGCCACCCAGTTATGGTATTTTGTTATGGCATCCCAAACCCCTCCCCCCACACACATATGTTTCCTTTTATATTTATAAATAGAGAGAGAAATTTGGCCAGGCGTCATGGCTGACACTTGTAATCCCAGCACTAGGCCAAGGCAGGTGGATCACATGAGGTCAGGAGTACGAGACCAGCCTGGCTAACACAGTAACACCCCATCTCTACTAAAAATACAAAAACTACCTGGCTGTGGCGCTGGGTGCTTGTAATCCCAGCTACTTGGGAGGCTGAGGCAGGAGAATTGCTTGAACCTGGGAGGCTGAGGTCGCAGTGAGCCGAGATGTCGCCACTGCACTCCAGCCTGGACAACAGAGCAAGACTCCAACTCAAAAATGAAAAAATAAATAAAGGGAGAAATTTATATAAATTTCTCGCTATATTTATACTATTTTCATATATATACATATAAGTTATATATAAATGTGACATACTTATAAAGGAATCTATATATTTAATATAATAATATGTTGAATATATATTTTATATACGTTATATATACACACATGGAAAGGAGTTTATCTGTTTCTTTGCTGTCTGACACTTCCCTGCTTTCTCTCAGTTGTTTGAGTCTTTGTCTCTGATTCCTGGAGGCAAACTCTACATCCTTAGAATTTCTTGGGTGATAGGCACATCTGTTACTTGCGGTGGCCCCCCAGGGTTACAACTGAGTTCATGCCAACCAGATGGCTTGGCAAGGGGTCACCCACACCAGATGACCAACCATGTGATTTGAAGGTTGCGACTTCAAGTCATGTGGTGTCAGCCAGACTCCCAGAAAGGAACTGGGGGCTGGAGATTGGACTCAGGTGCCTGGCCAGTGACTGAATCAATCTGGCCACTGTAATAAAAGCCCTGGATGTGGAAGCCCAGTGGAGCTTCCCTGGCTGGTGACACACATCAGTGTGCTGAGAGGATGGGGCATCCTGAGGACACAGAGAGGGTGTCTTTGACACCCTCTCAGAGTGTGCGCTTTGTGTCTCTGCTTTTGGCTGGTCTTAACTTTTGTCAGTGTTTTTCTTATATAAAACTGTAATGAAAGTATCAGACAGGGCACGGTGACCCACGACTGTAATCCCAGCCATTTGGAAAACCGAGGCAGGTGGATCATTTGAGGTCAGGAGTTCAAGATCAGCCTGGCCAACATGATAAAACCCTGTCTCT